AATATTACATTCGATAAATGCAATTTTCCACAGTACAACCCCCAGAGAGGGGGGGTGCCTTGGTGTCGGGGAAGGTTCTGATCCAAAACTTCCCTATTCTTTCCCTTTTCCCTTTATTTGATTACCTTAAACCCCCCTTTTCCCCCGGGGCGTATTTCCCTACGGTTTTGCGCTTTCCCCTACGCCAAAGTATTAATATAAGCAGCCCTCTTATTCTGGGAAAAAAAGAATCATAAACACATTAATCATGAGAATTTACAAAGGTAATGAGCTCCAGGAAGAGCTGGTCAAAATTCATGACAAGTTTCAAAGGTAATGAATGATAAACACTTATCACATGATTACAATCATAGACAAATTACAGAGTAATGAGCAGTTAACAAACATAGCAGGGAATTCATCCATTGCCCCAACAACAGATGTTGCTAGGTGCCTGTCTCTCCTCGGTAGACAGCCATTGCAAACAGCAGCAAGTTGCCCCTACCTGGAGCTCATACCTTTGTAACTTGGTCTGATTATGACCAGATCTAGTTCATTACCTTTGTAACTTGCTCAGCTATCAAAACTTTGGAGTCCAGTCCCTGGACCAATATAGTACCTCTGTAATCTTTTGACTACCGCCCACAGGATGGGTATGGGGTGCATAATAAACATTTTAAACTAACTTAGTTCTGGCCCCTTCCCTCCAGTACCCACCTCACATTCCCTGGCTGACCCTTGGCCCCTCTCCCGTTACAGGTGATTCAAGGTTCAACCAGACCAAACTTGGCTGCTCTTTAAATCCTATCCACCCTTCAAGAAAAACCTCTTTTCATAAACTATTGAAAAACGTTGGAAAAGCCACGTTTGCCATTAAATACAGTGTTGACTTTCCAAGGTTCAGACCCATTAACTGTTTGACGTGATCCACTGATCATTTTTTTATACGAAATGTTCACCAATTGCTGATAAATTTATTTCTGTGGTACACTATGCTTGTAACTTTGCATACATATAACCTTATTATTTCGCAATGCCAATATTATTATTATCATGACCAAACGCTATACCCTCTGCGCATATATGCAAAATATTTTTGCATGTTTTTAATCCTATCTCTGAATCTGTATATGCCACAGATACTGAACCTATATTCTTATTAGAGAGCCCATCTTGTGTGAGAGTTTGTCACGGGAACCTCTCAAGGAAGGTTCCTTGATGCTGGTGAGGGGCTCTTGATCTAGGGAATTGGATTTGTCTCCGGTTCCCTGAATTAAGCCTGATTACCTTTCAAAATCCCCCCACAGGTGCTGCGTAATCCTACGGGTTTTAGCGCTCCCCCTTGATTAAAATAGTCACAGGAAAACCACCCACCATGATGGTTATTAACCCAACCGAGTTCTTGCTTCGTAAATGTCATAGATTAAGATAGTCGTACAATGAAACGTATTTAACTTTTGATATACAAAACAAACCATAAATCTAACTCTCAAGTTTCCTTCCCTGTTATTATTATCATAAGGGTCATACAGCGCTGCTTCCTTCCCTGTTGATCGGTGAAGGGCTCTTAATCTAAGGAGAACCTGAATACGCTTAATTTCCTCAGGCATTTTATGAATCCCTACGGGTATAGCGCCCCCATCCCCCCGTGAGAGTAATTCCTTCCGTTTTCCCTTGTCTCCGCTAAACAGCGGCCTCGTCGCAGTTTTCTGGTCTGAAACACAAGGTTGAAGACATTGGCTAAAACTGTACTAGTGCAGAAATTTACCATTACTTTGTCTTCAGTGAAGACCTTGGCCTTGTTACAAGACTATAATTATTATAATTATTATCATCGTGGGATCACTAAACCCATAGGATTATACAGCGCCTGTGAGGGGAGGGGGGTGGAAGATATTCAGGCTTAATTCACGGAAAATGGAACACAGATCCAATTCCCTAGATCAAGAGCCCATCACCAAAAACAAGGAACCTCCTTGAGGGGCGAATTTTTAATTCTAATTTTAAAAATTATATTCACATATGCATAAAATAATTCAATGTGCTGTATCGCTCATTTATTTATTTTCATCAATTAGTATATAAACAAAGCATGAAAGAAAGAATTAAACGTAAGTCAGTGCTATTCAGTCTACCAGATTAATTACCAAAGGTAAGTACGTCACTCTGTCTGACTTTTTTGGGTTATCCTAAGTTCTCTACACATATGCTGCTATGTATGATAATTCTATGTAACTGTATTTGTGTATACCTGAATAAACTTACTTACTTACTTATGTTTGTCACACTACAGGACAAGTGTTTACTGACGCAGGTCTTAATTATATGATGACTCACAGTGGAGCTTTTAGACATCTGACCAAGGCCTTCCGCTGGCTTACCGGTCCACCTCTTTAAAAATCATGGTTATGATTAGAACCATTTGGTAACAGTAGTTACCAGAGAATAAGCTGTACTAACAAAAATAAAGGTTTATATAGTGTTTAACATTTGAGAAAATTAATCGTTTAGAAGAGTGACTGAATTAGACCCCTGTCAGTCTTGCTGGGTGTTGTTTGAAACATGCAAGTTATCTCCTGAGCATTGTGTTAACACATTTTTATTTCATCTCTTGAAGACTCATCCTCTTCCCTCCTTAAAACATATTGCCTAATGTTCGTAGGCTGAAATCTCTAATACAGTACTCGCTGGGAGGAACCTGCAGTGGCAACAAATGCAATTCTGAAGCCCTGCTCAAAAATTGTATAGCTGAAGCTCAGTCACAAAATGGAGAAACTAAACGAGAGGCAAAATACATTGCAAACAAAATACACTATATGGAATGAAACTACAACACTCACTGCAAGGTACATGGGCATAACTGACATCAATGACATACTGCTATATAGAAAGCACCTTGTTATGCAGAGCAATTCGGGCAAATTAACTTAATTTTGTTCCAGGATGCGACCCACACTAGTCGACTCACACCCAGGTACTCATTTTACTGATGAGTGAACATGGACAACCGGTGTAAGGAAATACGCCCAATGTTTTTACCCTTGTCGGGAATCGAACCCGGCCTCTCGGCGTGTACATCGAGAGCTTTGCCACCAGGCCACGGGCCACCGTAAACTGCCCTCACTTTCCTTGGCGCTGTATAATCCCTAGGGGTTTAGCGCTCCATGGATGTAAATAACAATGAGTGTGCAATTAGTTTCAGTTACAGCATGTTATGTAGTGAGGGATTCACTGAGCGCTGCCCTGCGACGAAAAACTACTTAATATTCCATAAGGTAGTCAGAATACCATTGGTCAAGTTTTTGTATGCACCAGGTCGTGACCGAACCAGGAAAGTGACCTTTGTACGTACACCTGGCGTGCCTAGCACGACAATCTTATCTCTTACACACCCTGCAACCAAATATAGGCGAGTACAAACACACGCACGCGCGCGCACAAACATAAAACCCCCAGAAAATACAATAGTACATTTCATAAAATACTTTAAACATGCTACATTTACCAAGAATGTTGGACGTGACCCACTTCTGTACAGAGGCCACGGGGAATATACAGATGGGTGTATATCTCTGTAATTACGCTGAATTCGCTTTCATTTCTATTTTATGGACTCAAATATCCTTAACGTTAATAAGTAGGTAGTTTGCGGTCTTCACTCCCGATAATCAATAAGGTTTAAACGTAAACAATTAAGAGTAGATAGCATCACAGGTCTGGCCAATTTATTGAGACTTATTCTTTAAATTAAAACTCTTGTATGGTTCTACACTTTTCAGGGGGACACAAACGAACCAGATACACAAGTGAGAAAGATACGTACGAGACAGAGATATACACCAGACAAAGAGGTACACAAGAGACAGTTACACACACACACAAGACAGATACTGGACAAAGAGATATACAAGAGTCATTATTATAATCAAATCAAGCACTAAATCTTCAAGGGTCATAAAACAGTTCTGTGGCAGAAATGTGAAGGTAGAAATGTGCAACGGTTGGAGTGAGTAAGAGGTAAGAGTGTGTATACTGTATAGTTAGGGTACAGGTAGGTTCGCCAGGATGGGTCCTGGCCCGGAGGTTATTGGGGGTGGCGGATAGTGCTAGTAAAATATGAATCAAAGTTGTGTGATAGGTTAGATTCAGTTCAAAAAAGAAACAAGAGTCTGTGTCAAAGGTGAAACTTTCAGCAAAGTAAGTAAGAGTGCTTGGGCGGTTCATACATCGGAAGTGGAACCTGCATGCACTCTGATAGGCTAGGAAATGTTATGTTGAACGACAGTGCGACCAGTCATCAGAGTAATACCGGTTGCATTGTCTTATACTTACGCGTCAGGGCGTGGTCTACTAAACCCAACAACGGTGGGGAAATGGCCAGAATCCTGAACATGGTTTGGTAAAAAACAATTTGTGTACAGTGCAGACCGACGTCGTTGCCAGTGGTTGTGGTGATGAAAGTACACTGAAAAGTGGTCAGAGTTAGGAATATACTCTACTGGAAACCTGGATGTCTTGAATAGATGCCCGAGTGGCTTTTCTGAACATCGGACTGTCCAGACACCCAGCAAAATAAGCCTTCTTTGTGCTTATTAGAAATGCGACAACACAAGTCAAAGAGATATACAGGAGACAGATACGCATGACATACGCACGAGAAATACACACGAAACAAAAACATACGCACGAGACAGATACACACAAAACAAAAAGATACGCACGAGAGATATATTTGCACAAGAAACAAAAAGATACACACAAGACAGATGCACACAAAGCAAAAGATACACACGAGAAAAAAGATAAGCGACAAAAGAGACACCAGACAAAGGTATCCCAGTGCAAGATGGTGTACAAATGTGAGAGAAATCTCTTGGGTTACCAAGGACTTTCATGCCAAGGATTTGATCATCTCTAAGAATAGGACCAACTACAGTTTTCCTGGTGTGTCGTTCTCTACAACTCTCTTTGAGGGCTGAGTTAGGTGAAATGAGATTAGTCAGGGAACAGGACAAGACAAGTGCTTCCTAAATCTTTATTATCATTCGCTTGAAAATTATACAATATAAACAACTGTCAGTGATTAAACAGGAGAATGGACAGGGTCACGAACCTTAGTATGTATGTTTATCCATATACATATATAAACAGAACCAAACTGAAAATTTAAAAATTATATCAGTGTATTATTTCTTTATTTTGAGTAATTGACTATATGGGACTTTTTCTTGATGTCCTGTTCCCAGTCCTTTCCATCAAATTTTTCAAGTGTTATCTTCTTAACAGTGCCTTCATCCAAGCAGTGGGGCGCGATGCCTGCAGGAAGATGAAAGGAATTATAACCATGGGTAAGCGCTAGACTCACAGGGGTCCTAGAACGCCTGGGAAATGGAAGGTTATCGGGTCTGATCTGAGTAAAGGGGGAAGGGTTTGTTGCATTTCCTGGAATCAAGAGCTCTTTACCTTGAAAGGAAGATGAAGACAAACGAACTGTCAGTCTTACGAGAGCATTCTGTGTAATCGTTAAATCATATCTTGCGCTGTATTTCGGTTTTATAACGTTATATTATTATTATTAAAGATAATTAAGATTATAAAAGCCACTATATAGATAGGTGTATGAAAAACTTTCATAACTATTCGGACAAGAGTAATGAATCAGGGAATGTATCGTGCAGTGACCAACAATATCCACCCTACTGGAACTTAGGAAGACAGAATATGATAAATAACTTACCAAACTCATCCTGCCTGATCCAAAGGATGTAGGGAGTGGTGTGTGACACTTTCTATTCTGTATGAACTTGAGAATGTAGGAAGTGGAGAGTGACTTACCATAGCCATCTTGGTTGGATCTAGGGATGTAAAAAGGCTGGACACCGCAGACGGTGCAGAAGGTATGCTTGGCTGTGTGAGTGTTGAAAGTGTACGTGGTGAGGGAGTCGTGACCCTTCAGTAACTTGAAGTTGGTGGATGGAACAACAAAATGCTTGTTCTGCTTCTTCACGCAGATGCTACAGCTGTTGATAGGTTAGACTAGGTCAGTTCATGTAACAGATCATCGCTTAAATTTCTTATATGTAGGTTACATGGTGAAACTAGATTAAATTAAAAAAATAAAGCTCAAGGGTGGGCCTATACCATGGATTATGCATTAATACTGTGCTAAGCAAATTATGTTTTAGAAAAGCATTCCCAGAGTGTATTGTATTTATTGGAAATAAAATTTACTGCAAGAGTGCAAGGATAAAATAATATTACTGAATTATTATGGAGAAGCGCTGAATACGTATGAGTTACGCAGCACATAATAAATGGGAGGCAATCAGGTTTAGCTAAGGTAAAGGGAGGATAGGTTTAATTCATTGGGCGCAAGTACGTATAACAAAAATCGCCAATTCTACTGAAGGTGTTTCAACTGCGTATCATTAGTACTGGCCCATTCTCCTTAGAGCGTTGGCATTAATGTTAAGGCTCTAAGAAACTATCATATGGACCTCGACTGCCTGCTAAAGTTATTACAGTAATGTTTGTTATCTATAAAGGATGATTTGAGCCAAATTGACGTAACCTAGAACAGCAAAAACTGTTCTTGTGTAGATCGTTGATATCTCTCTTCCCTGATGTTTGTCTTGGTGTAATCGTTCACCGTAAGGTTCTATTTCACAGAAACAGTACGCGGTGGAACAAAACTAAGTTCAAACTTGAGGTGATTAGATTAGATTTTGCCACCGAAGTGGCTAGTTTAATGTGCACGGTGAATAGGTAGAAACGCACGAAAAATGAAACACGTGAACTGTAACCTTTGTTTACCAATGTAATTTGACGACCACAATATTACCAGGGAAGAGCACTAAACCCGTAGGGGTGACAGCTCTTTGAGCAATGGAAGGCAGTTAGGTTTGATCCAATGAAGGAAAGTGTGGAAATTTTTTACATAATTTCCTAAATGTAGACCTGGAGTACCTGGAACACATAAATAGATAATATAATAATTGTGTAATAAAATATGATGCTGATTTGATCCTTTCGAGAAATTTGGAGTGAGGGGGCACATGTGGAACAGCTGCGGAGTGATGCGGCAAAGAGACGCCATATTAAATTTAATGTGTGAACACTGGACTGAATTGTGCAATGTAATCAGGCGTTCTCGAAGGTCAGTTGGTGTATATCGGCCTCAATCTGTAATTCAGAAATTGCTGAAGAATTGGGATAAATAGTGTGGAAAACCCTTACAATTCGACAATCAGGATGGAAAAATAGAGGACTCCAATCCTTCCCAGCAACACACCTTAGCTAAGTGATGCTTATCCATAACGTCCAGTAGTTTTTGCATTGACCATTATAAATTTTAGCTGCTAGGGTAAAGATAGGGTGTGTTCCATCAGCATTGTCCTCCTGTGATAAATGGTAAGTAGTAATACGAATTTTTCTAATAACACTATTAATTTATGTATAATAATTACATTCTGTGTACCCATCAAGCCTATCATATACAGTCTACACAAGTTTAATTTATCAGAGCAGCTGATTTTAATATAATTAATTTAATATCAGGTCTGACTTTCTGTGAGTGTGGTAGGGAGTGGGCATCGAGGGAGTTACAGTTAGGCGACCTGCTGTGACTAAAGTCCCACTTACCTTACCCAAATTACTTGCAGGCAATAATTCAGGTGATTTGCTCACATAATAATAATAATAATAATAATAATAATAATAATAATAATAATAATAATAATAATAATAATAATAATAATTCACAAGGAGGATAGATTCACTTTCTTGGATCAAAAGTCCCTCACTGAAATCAAGGCACATCTCGAGAGGACAACCACTACAGCAGATATCCCATTCTGATAACTGCATTATAAAAGAACAATATATACCCATATGCTATAACAGTTAAAAAATATATACAAAGAAAATTAAATTGGTTGAATATGAAGAACATGAAGTTGTCATACTTGCACTCAATGACTTTGATGTGTGAAGGTGCCACCACCTGGAACCTGACAGCACCACAGTGGCACCCACCTTGGTGGTTTACCATGGCACGCTCCATATCCACTCACTTTAACCTGAAAGAGTATGTCATGCCAGGTAAGAGATTTGTCCTCCGCTTTATTGGATCAAATCTGCCTCCCACTTCCCAGGCGATGTATGATCCATGCGGGGTTAGCCCTTGCAATATGAAATGAGTAATATTTCTTCCTAGTGATGTACTTATCCCCGTGGGGTCTGACAAAGACCTTTGTGACCTCTACAATCCTGATTTTTGCACTACTGCTCACAGGATGAGCCGCGGGTGCACAATAAACTAGCCACACAGGCGGCGGCACAACTGACATAAGAACATAAGAAAGGAGGATCACTGCAGCAGGCCTGTTGGCCTTATAATAATAACCTAACAAAAGCAAGTAATATCATTTATCTCCATTTGGTCCTTCCCTAGGATAAGCCCGAGAACTCCTAGGATTGGGTACTGACTTTAGGTATCTGGACAGCAATTCTAGGGAGATTTTCAAGAAAGTCCTAAAATAGGATGCGACCCACACTAGACTAACCCTTAGATACCTAGTTACTGCTAGGTAACCAAGGACAGCAAGTGTAAGGAGATTTGCCTGTGTTTCAGCCCGACGGCCCAGCTCTAGGACCCTTTTGGTTATGCATTACCGAGCTATGAGACACTATTTTAAGGAATAGTCTTGATGTCAGCGTATAGGTGAATTATGGCCTTAATAAACCTTGTGCAGCCAATGGATTTTTAAACCTAATAATGTAACTACACTAACGTGGAAATATAATAATATACTACTAAATTCTTCCCAAAATTGTGACCAAGACAGAAGTAACACCTATTGTTATATATTCACAGGGAAGGGCTAAACTCGTAGGGTTCATACAACACTTAGGAAATGAGAGATAATCTTGTTTGATTCAACGAAAGGAAGTCTGCAATTATTTGGATCAAGAGCCCTTTTCTAGCATCATGGCACCTCCTTGAAGGGACAATGTCCATAACTCGCTTTGCAACAGGAAACTTTTTTCCTAACTCATAACTGGAAACATTCTGCATAGTTCACAACAAGAAGACGATGTCCATAATTCCCACATATAACATACCGCATCAAAAAGGCACGGCCCCGAACTTCTAAAAAAAAAAAAAAAATAGCTTTGCTCGCCTTACCTAATATACCAAGTCTTAAAAGTGCTAAAATTAATCTCCGCAAGAACTGTTAATATAAAAAATGTAGCAGGAATTGCTTGAAAAGTATTCATAGAAGCAGCTGACATAAATTATTCTTAGCAATATGATGACATATGATGAGACTCTTCTGGTCGCTTGTTCTATTTAGGCTGGAATATTGCTGCACACTAACAGCGCCTTTCAAGGCAGGTGAAATTGCTGACCTAGAAAATGTAGAGACAGCTTTCACGGCACACATAAGTACGATTAAACACCTAAATCACTGGGAACTGTTGAAGTTCCTCGACCTGTACTCCCTGGAACGTAGGCGGGAGATATAATTGTATACACTTGGAAAATCCTGGAGAGATTAGTACCAAATTTTCACACGAAAATCACTCCCTATGAAAGCAAAAGACTCGACAGGCGATGTAACATTTCCCCAATGAAAAGCAGGGGCGCCACTAGCACGGTAAGAGACAGCACAATAAGTGTCAGGGGCCCAAGACTGCTCAACTGCCTCCCAGCATACATAAGGGGGATTACCAATAGACTCCTGGCTGTCTTCAAGAAGGCACTGGACAGGCACCTAAAGTCAGTACCTGATCAGCCGGGCTGTGGCTCGTACGTCGGTTCACGTGCGGCCAACAGTAACAACCTGGTTGATCAGGCCCTGATCCACCATGAGGTCTGGTCACAGACCGGGCCGCGGGGGCAATTGACCCCCAAAACCCTCTCTAGGTATAACTCCTAAGAAACTCTTTGTTTTTGTGACCCACTTTAGCGTCCCAGTCACAGTGGGTCACAGAACCATCATAGTGGGTCACAGAGGCATCACAGTGGGTCAGAGACTTCGTAGTGGGTCACAGAGGGTCACAATGGGTCACAGTGAGCCACATTAATCTTAGCAACAAATGCCTCCACTTGCTTTTAGCCTTGTTTAAGTGAACCTTAATAATTATTGCATTAGTAAGCATTGTATATATAAGTGGGCCAAGTAAACCAAGTCCTAACCGAATAAGCTGGGAAGATATACTAAGCAACACAGACCACAACTTATGCCTAGAACAGATTAACTTGGTGGCACTCGATGTATGCACAAGGCTTATTCCTCTAAGAAAAAGGAGGAGTAGATGTAAAATAGAAAGAGACAGGCGCTCCCTTTACAGGCGACGGAAAAGAATAACAGAGCGGCTAAAAGAGGTCAATATATCTGAAATGCGTAGGGAGACACTGGTCAGGAAATAGCAAGCATCGAACTTAAGCTAAAGGAATCTTATAGGAGTCAGGAATCGCGGAAGAACTAAAAGCCATAAATGAAATCGAAAGAAACCCAAAGTATTTCTTCTCCAATGCCAAATCAAAGTCGAGAACAACGTCCAGTATTGGGCCCCTACTAAACAAGATGGGTCCTACACAGATGACAGCAAGGAAATGAGTGAGCTACTCAAGTCCCAATATGACTCAGTTTTTAGCAAGCCGCTAACCAGACTGAGAGTCGAAGATCAAAATGAATTTTTTATGAGAGAGCCACAGAATTTGGTTAACACAAGCCTATCCGATGTTATGCTGACGCCAAATGACTTCGAACAGGCGATAAATGACATGCCCATGCACTCTGCCCCAGGGCCAGACTCATGAAACTCCGTGTTCATCAAGATGACACCCGAATCTGCATGACAGTGTCTTCCATTGCAGACACTGCAAGGCTCCAGGCGGACATCAACCAAATCTTTCAGTGGGCTGCAGAAAACAATATGAAGTTCAATGATGAGAAATTTTGAATTACTCAGATATGGTAAACACGAGGAAATTAAATCTTCATCAGAGTACAAAACAAATTCTGGCCACAAAATAGAGCGAAACACCAACGTCAAAGACCTGGGAGTGATCATGTCGGAGGATCTCACCTTCAAGGACCATAACATTGTATCAATCGCATCTGCTAGAAAAATGACAGGATGGATAATGAGAACCTTCAAAACTAGGGAGGCCAAGCCCATGATGACACTCTTCAGGTCACTTGCTCTATCTAGGCTGGAATATTGCTGCACACTAACAGCACTTTTCAAGGCAGGTGAAATTGCTGACCTAGAAAATGTACAGAGAACCTTCACGGCGCGCATAACGGAGATAAAACACCTCAATTACAGGGAGCGCTTGAGGTTCCTAAACTTGTATTCCCTGGAATGCAGGCGGGAGAGATACATGATTATATACACCTGGAAAATCCTAGAGGGACTAGTACCGAACATGCAAACGAAAATCACTCACTACGAAAGCAAAAGACTTGGCAGACGATGCAACATCCCCCCAATGAAAAGCAGGGGTGTCACTAGCACGTTGAGACCATACAATAAGTGTCAGGGGCCCGAGACTGTTCAACTGCCTCCCAGCATACATAAGGGGGATTACCAACAGACCCCTGGCAGTCTCAGCGGCACTGACAGCACCTAAGTCGATTACGACCAGCGGGCTTGCTCGTACGTTGGTTTGCGTGCAGGCCATCATAACAGCCTGGTTGATCAGTTGCCTGATCCACCAGGGAGGGCCTGGTCACCAGACCGGGCCGCGTTGGGCATTGACCCCCGAACTCTCTCCAGGTAAACTCCAAGTCCAACAATACCTGGTGAAACGGATTATACAATAGGTAAAGCAGGTGTTAACAATTATGGTTAGCGGAGCACAAAACACGCATGGGGTCATGCGGCACTGTGGCATAAGAGGCAACGGGAGTACCATCAAGAAGACAGGTCCAGAACCAGGTGACATGTCCAGTTCCGTCCTCGCTCAGGAACTGAACCTGGAAAACTTCAGCATGTACTATTTCCCATACCCCTAGCATCCACAGAGTAACAATATGGTATAAGGTTGTAAGATAAAAGGACACAATGCAGCTAATGTACATGGTTACTTATGGCAACGTTTCTGCTCTCGCAGAGCTTTGTCAAGCCGTTACTCAATCAGTCATGGACACAAGAGGTAATAATAGGCTCAAGTAGGTGCAATACTAGTGATATGTATAGTGGTGAACTACTACTACTTACTCACATATACCACGTTGCACAATAAAATGTCACATTAGTTGCACATTTTGTCCTTTACTTAACATATTAGTCGTAATTCTAACCAACCTTCATTACAAGGTATAAGGTACAGACCAATTTATCCAAAAGTTCTCTACACATAGGGTTTAGCAGATAATCTATGAACTGAATTTGTTTATACCTAATAAACTTAAATAGGTACATCAAGAAAATAAGTCACTGTTTTTGTTATCCTACTTAAATTACACTTACGTTATTTCGCAAACAGGCGAAAAATAAAATGTTAGGTTATTATGTAAGACTATTGTGATCATCGAAAATGTGTGTAAGTATAATAAAATAAACTTACCAGGTTATCCTACCTTAATGTACACTTGTGTTACTAGATAAGGCAACTGCAAAAATATTGTAATTAATCTAAATAAAAGCTTACAGAACCAAACAGTTTTAATGGTAAAAAAAAATATGTATGTAAATAGTTACATTAGAAAACAAGGCTTATTACTCACGAGCTAAGTGAATAAAAGAGAAGTTAAAATGATAGTATAAGCAGTACAATGGTCGCCTGATGGAGGTGGTAGAGTGACTGAGGTGTTGCAGCTGTGTGACCGTCTTGTATACTGCCAGCTACCAGTACTAGTCACGTGTTCACATACACTTACTTTTAAATTTCATTGGGAAGCGCTAAACCCATAGGTGTTATACAGCTCCTTGGGAAATGGGAAGCAATTAGATTTGATCCAAGGGAAGGGTGGGTAACTCCAGTTCTTTGGAGCAAGAGCTTGTCACCAGCATGCAGGCACTTACCTTGAAGGTTGTGTTGACGTCACTGGTCTGGGACCTGCCAGTGCTGTCAAGCTGGTTTATTTACTTCTTTGGCTTTATATTAGTATATTTAGGGGTCATACAGCGCCTGGATGAATGTTAAACATGTTATAAGGTAGGGGAGGAGGACACGTCTGATTCCTTGTATCAAGAACCATTGAGGTTTCTTGATACAATGGAATTTTTTTTTGAGGGAGGGGTATTTTAGGTATGATAATTATACTTATGTGTACCTGTACCTGGATAAACTTACACCAACGTCAAGGAATCTCCTGAATTTGGGTACATAATTTTTTTTACAATGATCTCGAGGGCACACGCATGTTATGGGAACAAAAATCCTATGAAATAGATTTTACCTTTGATAACTCAGTGATTTGTCCATGAATTACCAAGAAACTCATTTATGTCTGTGGGAAATTCAAACTTAAAACGAGAGTATTATTAGATTATATTCACTGGAGAGCGCTAAACCCGATAAGATAAAAAGATGCAGATAAATATTTTATTTCTTTGTAATTATGTAATTACAATTTTGGTTTACTAAGTATGTACAAAGAAAACCACTAGCATGCCGGGGCATTTCTGGCAGACTAAGCCTAGTACATAATAACTACTTAAATCTAGACAAGATTAGTTAATTTGTATTAAATTTTTTTTATTTAATTTTAATACTAATGCGAGGTAGTCAAGGTAGACGTTTATAAGAATAATACTCTTGAAGTTGTACGTAAAAATAATATTACAATTAATGGTTCATCCCCACACTGTAATCTGTATAAAGAATTAACTTGATAATATTTCGTGGATTGGCAGATGTTTAATAGACTAGAGGTCATATAATAACTGATTAGAAGTTGGTTTGGTTAGTACTGAAAGATGAGATGATTTTTAAGCAAAGTCCAGTTCAGGTAGTGAATTCCAGATCTTCGGGCCCTTTACCTTCAAGAGAGGTTCCTTCATACTGGTGAGGGGCTCTTGATCTAGGGAATTGGATCTCTGCTTCGGTTCCCTGAATTGAGCCTGAATGCCTTTCATCCCCTCGCATGCGCTGTATAATCCTATGGATTTAACGCTCCCCCATGATTATAATATATAATAATATTCAGGCCCTTTATGTCCATTGCATTTTTTCATAGTGAGACACACGAGGGATGTTAAGAGTGCCTTATTTATGCCTTGTATTGTGACTGCGTTCTGTTGTAACTATTAAGGAGAAGTTTAAGTGGAGGGTTTATATTGGAGTTTAATGTTCTGTATATATAGTAGGCACAATAATATGAATGTATGTCTGGTATATTTAACAAGTTCAGGCTTTTGAACATTGGTGGGGTGTGGTGTCTAGCACAGGAGCTGGTAATCATCCTCACAGCAGCTTTTTGTTGGGTTATTTGCTGTATAGCCCTTGTGGCTTAGCGCTTCTTTTTGATTATAATAATAATAATTGGGTTATTTAAGGTGGTTGACTGTGGTTGATCTCCCAGGCACAAATACCATAGGTGAGATAGGGAGGATATATTAAAGAGTGGTATAGGGTAAGGAGTGTCGTTTGGGGTACATAGTATCTTATTTGGGAAAGGATGCCTATTATTATTATTATTATTATAATCAAGGGGGAAGCACTAAACCCATAGGATTATACAGTGCTTGGGGAAGGGATGGAAGGTATTCAGGTTTAACTCAGGGAACTGGAGCACAGATCCAGTTCCCTAGATCAAGAGCCCCTCACCAGCATCAAGGAACCTTCCTTAAGGGGGAAAGGATGCCTAATGATTTGGAAATAGCGGATAAGGAATGGAGAATGGGAAGTAATAAGATTCGATCCAAGAAAGGGGTTGGGGTATCTCCAACTTCCTGGATCAAGAGCCCTTCACCGGTATTGAGACACCTTGAAGGGTAATCTTAATATAAATATTGAGGTTAGTGTGATTAAAAATGTATTGAGGTAAACTGGAACTTACGAATCAAGTCCTCGTCAGATTTCATAACCTTTCAATAAGCCATCATTCACTCTCATCAATCAGACAAATTTTGTAAAAAAAAAGAAGTACATGTACCTCAAAAAAGCGAGAATTTTTATTTAAACTAGAAAAAACCAGTTGGAATAATTTCCACCAGTGTTTTGTTTCACAGGCAAATTATAGTTAGAAAAGCATTCATGGATAAAAAGATAATTATTATAATCAAAGAGAAGATAAAAAGATAAGAAATGTCCAGTGAGCAGGACCTTCTATAGCTTCCCCTTGACCCTTACAGGTTTAGCATTTAGATATGGTAATAATAATAATAATAATCTAAAGCTCCTCAAATGTTTCTGGCATGAGACATAATATTATAATTATTAATTTAAGAGCTAAGTCATATATATCACATGAATGGGGAAGTGCTAAGCCCAGAGGGGTCATATGCTACCTGGGGGTATGGGAAATATTCAGGTTTGTTCCAAGGTAGGGGAGGGCTAGTCTAATTTCTTTAATTAAGAGTTCCTCAACAGCTAAGGGTCATAAAGTGCTACAATAAGAGACACAATTATCTAGCCAATGGTTTTCTTTCTGTTGTCACTGCTGTAATATTAATTTCTAGTGAATAATCAGTGTCATTTATACAATTTTTCTAATTATTGTTATTATTATAATAAAAAACCAAGCACTAAACTTTCTTACCATTAAATATTAGACTTTTTTCTAACAACAGTGTTAAAATTTTTTTTTAACTTTACTTTTTATTCCTTTGATAAGAAGCCATCAGTGCCTCTCCCATTTACAATATCTTGATAAGAAGCCATGAGTACTTTCTCCATTTGCAATCTCTTGATAAGAACATGCAGAATTTGCCTCTGATTCAGTCACTGCTCTAAGACCCTTACTTTATCTCCCACCTTGCTTGATTCATATTCCCTCTGACTTTTTGCAGCAACCAATTTATTACACAAACTTTGATAATACTTCTTTCAGCACTCCTCACATTATTATTATAATAAAAAAGAAGTGCTAAACCACAAGGACTGTACAGCGCTGCAGCACTCCTCACAGCCCTTACAAACTCTGCCCCTGCTATCCTGTTCACCCTTGCTATACTATGATCCCACAGCACCCCCTGCCCTGCAGCACTGTATGGCCCTAGTGGGTTTAACACTTCATTTTCTGATTATAATAATAATCTTGATAAGAAGCTATCAGTGCTTTCCTCATTTACAATCTCCTGATAAGAAGCCTGGAGTTTACCTGGAGAGAGTTCCGGGGGTCAACGCCCCCGCAGCCCGGTCTGTGACCAAGCATCCTGGTGGATCAGAGCCTGATCAACCAGGCTTCCAGTTACAATAATTAAAATGATCACCTATCCACTAATTTCTTAAGTTATAGAGATCAGTATTGTATTTTAAATTTTACTGCTTATAAATGAATATCTATAAGCTGACATATGGAGGTTAAAAGGCATTTTCAGCAAAGAAATCTTTTACTAATACATACCTTTCATCCTCTGGAGGTTGAATGAAGTACTGTACATGGATGCCATGATGATAGTGATAGGTAAAACAAAGAGGTGAAGTGATGGCAGGTTAGGTCAGGTGTTATTGGAAGAGATCATGTGTCATTTGGTCAGGTTATGTTATATGTGAAGTGATGCCCGAGGTGATACCAAAGGTTCGGGTTGTGTTATTTTATATTTATGTTGATTCAGGATTATCTGAGTAATAGGTTTATAAATCATTTAACATCCCCATCCCTTTGTTCTATGGTGCTGGTGATATCTAACTTCCATGGATTTGGGCTCTTTGACAAAATGATTCTCCCTCTAGGGCTCCTGAACCATCTACAAGTAAGCCAGTGGAGCTTTGACAGCTTCTCTGATGCTTCTACATCTCCAAGTAGACCAATGATGGAGTTTCACAGCTCCTGTAACTCAGAATAAAAATTATTCTGAGTCACCACTATATGATCACACTAAATAAATTTCATGTCTACTTCATAAAAGGTAAATAATAAAAATATCTATCATACTTTCAACTTCTTTATTTTCAAATACTATTATTTTCAGTTGTGTGTATATTCCTGTATTATGTATAGTATTGTTTGTAAACAAAGTCCATTGGTTACAGAATTGTCCATTAATGTTGCTTAGTATGGTTTTGTCAAGAACCAGCAAACGAAGTCTGTTATGTACAGAATTATCTGCTAGTATTAGGTTCAAGGCAAAAACAATTTCATGTTCGGATTTAATGGACATGTGGCATTACCGGACACTTTCTTCCCCCTACTAGTCCATCAAATCTAGTTTTCACTCTGTATGTAGGTTCACCTCACTTTATGCAAATTTACTAATAGGTGATGCTCTATTAATTCCACATGAGCAATATATATTTTTCCATATGCAAAGCCTGTTACCCAAAATTAAGTGTTTATATTTTTATTGGCCTTAGTATGGCTGCCATGGGTATGAAGTGCATATACAACATAAAACAACGGATACCAGGTACAGTGTATATAATTTAAAATTTTTTAGAGGACGATCTGCTTATAAAATAATCTAAACAGAAAATAAATATTCAAAGATATATTAAAACCCTTTATTATCCTTTCCTTTACATTTACATTGCACTATATGAAGTTTCATTTACTGAATTGCTACTCAACTTTTCTATTTTCATATAATCTTCTCTCTTCACAATATCTCTCTTTATCGCGCTCATACTTTTCGATGTATACCTGGGGAAAGAAAAACAAATTATTTTTTTTACACATTCTTAGACATTTCATATACATTCTCTTAAGATTGTGCATATATTTTGAGAGTCTTAGACATAACCAGGAAATGTGTGGATAACTTAATGGTCCCATTGCAAGCATTCTATAAGTAGCTGCAGCCCTTCCTATTTACCAGAGGAACTTTTATCAACTACTTAGATAATTTAATATGATTCATCTAGTCCTGCCATGCACAAAGTACATAAAATAAGACTACTGTTGTACCCCATCCGTAAAGATGATAATGCCACACATGTTCAAGCATAAACATACCAACCCATGAAAACATTATATTTATCCACCATTACACAGCTTCCTTAATTATTATTATTATTATTACAATCATAACCAAGCACTAAACCTACAAGGGTCATACAGCACTGACAGCTTTCTTAAAAAAAGCTTTTTATAGCAATCAACTTTCCTCCCTCTCCATACAAGCTCAAAACATCATAATTACTCTGCTCATGAGTTTGGTAGGGTAAGTAAAAGAAGGAAATTAAAAGTGAATATATAGAAAAGAGTAGAGTAAGGTGATAAGGATAACAAAAATTTAGGTAATGAAAGATTGGATGTCAGACTGGAGGGAGGGAGTATGAAGTGAATGTATTCAGGCTTTTGTGAGTGGACTTGTCAGCAGAAGAGTCTATGAAAGATGAGGTGAATCATAGAACTGATAGAGGAAAAAGGCAAGTGGTGCACTGAGGAGTCTGCACTGACAAAGAACGTTATCCATGGAAGCAAAGAAGGGAATGTATGAGAGTATAATTATACCAATGATCTTATATGGATGTGAAGCATGAGTTGTGAATGTTGCAACAAGAAGGGTGAAGGCAGTGCAGATGTCATGTCTGAAGGAAATGTGCAGTGTGAATATAATGTAGAAAATCCGTAGTTTGGAAATTAGGAGGAAGTGCAGGGTTACTAAAAGTATTATCCAGAGGGCTGAGGGGTTGTTGAGGTAGTCTGGACATTTAAAGAGGATGGAACAAAATGGAAACAAAGCTGCAAATGATCCAATTAACATAACGCTAAACGGATCATCAGTCACAAGACTCACAGAGGGAAAATTCCTAGGTATCCACCTTGACAGTAGCCTTAAGTTCCGGACACACATACAACAAATCACCAAGAAAATCTCCAAGACCGTAGGCATACTATCAAAGATAAGGTACTACGTTCCACAATCAGCTCTCCTGGCACTGTACCATTCACTCATATACCCTTATCTTACATATGGAATTTGTGCATGGGGATCAACAACATCCAATCACCTAAAACCTCTAATAACCCAGCAAAAGGTAGCAGTAAGAATGATAACAAATTCCCACTCCCGCCAACATACTCCACCAATTTTCAAAAGTCTGAATCTGCTCACCATTAAGAACATCCATACTTATTCATGTGCCTACTACATACACAGAACAATACACGCAAATATAAACCCTCCACTAAAACTTCTCACCAACCTAAACAGGACACATGACCACAACACAAGACACAGATCTCTTTTTGATATACCTCGTGTCCATATCACACTGTGTAAAAACTCTATGCACATAAAGGGCCCCAAAATATGGAATTCATTACCAGAAGATATTAAAGTAACCCAGTCTGAAAATCAATTTAAGACTCTTCTCAAAAGCCACTTAATCACCTTATACTAAATGCTAAATACTCAGTACACACATACTCACTTATGTACTCCCACATCATAACTTCAACAATCACTTTGAACCTTTTATCCATTGTTGACAGGAATATAATTGAATCATTGTTTTCACAAAAAGCATTTTCGAATACATGTCTATGAATATATCTTTTGTCTTATACAAATTTTGATTAATTTATAATTAATAATCTACTGTATGACTATGAAATAATTACTATCCTACTGTACAACTATGATATGATCCTAAGTGTTAAGTAGTCTGTAAGCCAATAATGTTAAGTTGGCCCATAATGCCTAGGCATAGTAGAGGCTCTCTTAGCATTGCAACCCACTATTGTAAATACAAAATCTGAATGTACTGTTTGCAAAGACATATAATAAATAAATAAATGGCCAATGTGTTAATAAAAAAAAAAAAAATAGTGTGATATTTAAAGATATACATACTGTGTTGCCGGACTTCAATGATGGTATATAGATAATTACTGATACAAATAGGGGCCACTGGATAAAGAGAAATTTGCAGAAAAGCAAGACTGCATAAAGCAAGGAAAACCCTGTATGCTATCAGCAATTTAACAGCACCTCTTTCCAATACATCAGGAAAACTGATGGTGAGGATGAGCTAGCAATCTGGGCGTTCCATCAATGATTATGGATGCCACTGCAATCATCAGTAAATCCTAGGAAGAACTGGTGGCAGTCATAATGAATATGTGGAAAAAGTTTGGCCTTCACATATCAATAACTTCCATTGATTGTAAGAGAGAATTCCAAAATACAAAGGATTGTACTGCATTTTGTAAGTCATTCACCATAAGTAGTAAAGGAGACCCAATTCTCTGTACAGTAGTGGTGTGACAAAAAGCTCTAATCTTGTAGCCAGGCTTACCATGTACAGAAGGAATATGGGCTTTGCCAAGGATGTTGGATGTCAAGTGGATGAGGCTGATGTGCTGGTGGTGTTAAAGTTTCATGGAGAGTCCCATACTAATGAGCAGATACAGCTTGCAGAATGGCAAGCCATATCAGGAGAGGATGAGAAGGGAAGGGGTTGATATCAGTGCAAACAGTTAACACTTCTGTGTTGACTCAGAGAAGACTGTTTAACCCTTTGACTGTTTCGGTTGTATATATACGTTACGAGCCACTGTAATCAAGCAGGAGAAAGCTGGTAGGCCCACATGTGAGAGAATGAGTCTGTGTGATCAGTGTGCACCATATAAAAAATATCCTGCAGCATGCAGTGTATAATGAGAAAAAAAAAAAGGGACCGTTTTTTTTGGATTAAAATGCTGACTTTGTGGTGTATTTTCGTATAGTATTTATGGTTGTGTTCTCGTTTTCTTGGTCTCATTTGATAGAATGGAAAACATATTATAGAAATAGAGGTGATTTTGATTGGTTTTACTATGAAAAGAACCTTGAAATGGAGCTCAAAGAAGGGGAAATGTTTGATTTTTGCCGATGTTCAAAAGTAAACAAATGATGTCATTGTCCATTAAATGTTCAACTAGCCATTCTAATATGCAGTCACAAATGGGTTGACATTATTTATACAATTATTACAATATTGCAGTAGTCTGCATAACAGTAAATCTTCTATTTTTTGTTTGAATAAAAATTCAAAATAGAAAGCAAGAGTAATATCAGAGGGGCCTGGAGATGTGACTGATGAACAAAGAAAATGTTATTTTAGAGCCAGGAATGTCTGCATTGTTCATTCTGGACCCTATTTTGAAATTGGCATATTTTTTAATTTGCGTGAAATTGGCCAAATTGCAAATTTCTGACCACGTTATTGAGTAGTTGAAATTAGTATATGGGCAGTTTCTTGTACTCAATCGATAGAACAAATGGAGATCTAAAGAAATAGCTATGAGTTTGGTCGACTGGAACAATGGAATTAGCGGAAAATAGGGCTCAAAGTGGGCAAAATCGCCAATTCGTAAATATCGCCGAGGTCGCTAACTTCGTGAGAGCATAATTCCGTAAGTTTTCCATCAAATTTCGTTCTTTTGGTGTCATTACCATCGAGTAAAGATTCTCTATCATTTCATAAGATTTTTTTTTTTTTGTTAATTTTTTGATACCAGGAGACACCTCAGGATTTGGGCTTTCGATAGTCAAGGGGTTAAGGGTTTCAAGCATATAGAGGAGGGATTGGAGATGTTCAAGATATATATTCCAAGATTACACAGTGAGCCTCAGTATGAATTGCTCCTGGTTGCTATATGCAGACCTTTAATCTACACAACCTTCAATGGACAAAGTATAACTTACAGAATGAGCCCTTCTCCCATATGTTAAAAATATCATGAATAATGTAGTAAAAATGCTTTGACTAACCTCTGTTCAGTCCTTGATGCAAAAAAAAATATATATATATACATATATAAATTATATACAGCACATTTAAATTTTAGTTCAAGATAATGTGACTAGTTTTTCTATTACACAAAGTAATAACATTTTATAACAAAAACTTACTTTTTTGTCATCTTCTGAGAGGGCACTCCAACGTGCAGCAAGAAGCTTAGTCAACTGCTTTTTGTCAATGGGCCTTCCAGTTTGCTGCAGGTGCTGAACTGTGGTACTGTCTCGCTGCTCCTGACAAAACTGAAGGAAAGCATTGCTAGGACGTTTGGGTGTGGATGGATCACATTCCATCTTCTCTCGCTTTACCTGTAACTGTTATGATGTAAAATTAATTAAAATGCATGTTTTGTGTTGCTTTCCCATGCTTAAAATGAAACAAACATATCTCAGTTACACATACAGTACAGTGGTTCACCCAAACAACAGACCTACCTGCTAGATCCAAGAATCCACATAATGCAACGAAAATATTTAGGAGAACAATTTGTAATAAAGCACAAAAAATGAAAATAAGAGTTGCTGTCCTTTTTTTTTTTTTTTAAATTCCTGCATACATGTATATGTACACTACACCTAGGTAGTAGGTTGGTAGACAGCAACCACCCAGGGAGGTACTACCGTCCTGCCAAGTGAGTGTAAAACGAAAGCCTGTAATTGTTTTACATGATGGTAGGATTGCTGGTGTCCTTTTTTCTGTCTCATAAACATGCAAGACTTCATGTACGTCTTGCTACTTCTACTTACACTTAGGTCACACTACACATACATGTACAAGCATATATGGTTTAGAAAGACACGTAAGCAAACACTATGACATATTTATTAGAAAACGTTTCTGTCCTGGGACCTTGATTACTTCTAACATACAGAGGTAGAAAGGCATTATATATATAGGCGGAGAGTGAGGTGTGACGTCATAAGAACATAAGAATGGAGTAACACTGTAGAAGGCCTACTGGCCCATGCGAGGCAGGTCCTTATCAAAACAACCTCTGCCTATGATGAGGACGGGTAGACGATGAAATCATGTGACTCCTGTGTTGTTGGGTTGGTGGTGCTTAAGTATCATATATGCCAATGTTTTTGAAATTTTGTAGTTTCCAGTGTTGCGTTCTATAGTGTCGGTGACGGCGATTAGTGAGGCTTCTGGGCCCACCGTCGGCATCTGAGGTCTGGTTCGGTGAGAACGAGTTGTGCCTCATTAGTTCATCAAATGTCCCGTGGGTCTCTGTGGAGGACACAGGCGTACCTTACATCGTCTCTGTTAGAGGCATTTCGATGCTCATTCAGTGGACTGCAAGATCTCTGCCTGTCTCGCCTACATATTTCTTGGGACAAAACCCCACAGGGGATAGTGTAGATGCCTGCTGTGGGAAGTTAGAGGGTGGGGCTGCGTTTCGTAGTGAGGTCTTTGATAGATGATGTGTTTATGGTGGGAAACGTTGATGTTACTCATAGCAGTGCCCGGCGAGTATTCGTGGCAAACATCACCAAATGGAGTACTATGAACTGCTTAGGGGGTTGTTCCATGGGCGGTTTGTTGGATTAGCTTGTCCCTTTAAAGTCTGCAATCTCGGATGAAGAAAGATGGGAATGAAGACGTGTAAAGGCTTGTGTTTGTAATTTGCATTCTTCTTCTGGGAAAAACAAGGGCTGGAGATGCGAAGAGCTCTCAAGAAGAAGCCAATGAGGACTCCTCTCTTAGTGCGGGTGTCTTGGTGTGAATAAAAGTGTATAAGATCGTCCTTGTTGGTAGGTTTTCTGTACACTTTGAAGAGAAGTTTGTCACTGTCGGGAGATCTGCACAGTAGAACGTCGAGGAAAGGAAGTTTGCCATCATTTTCGAGTTCAAGTGTAAATTTTATTGATGGTTCAACTGCATTGATCTTGTTGAGAAGGGCCTGGATCTTGAGACGTCTCATGGAAAACCTGGAGACAGAGAAATTCAGCACCCTCATTCCCAACACCGTTACCTGGCTAAGATACGTTGATGATGTATTGGTTTTCTATCCGAGACGTCTCAAGATCCAGGCCCTTTCAACAAGATCAATGCAGTTGAACCATCAATAAAAATTTACACTTGAACCCCGAAAATGATGGCAAAAATTCCTTTCCTGACGTTCTACTGTGCAGATCTCCCGACAGTGACAAACTTCTCTTCAAAGTGTTTAGAAAACCCACCAACAAGGACGATCTTATACACTTTTATTCACACCAAGACACCCTCCTAAGAGAGGAGTCCTCATTGGCTTCTTCTTGAGAGCTCTTCGCATTTTCCAGCCCCTTTTTTTCTAGAAGAAGAATGCACTTACATAACACAAGCCTTTACACGTCTTCAGTTCCCATCTTTCTTCATCCGAGATTGCAGATTTAAGGCACAAGTTATTCTCAACAAACCCCCCATGGAACAGCCCCCTAAGCGTTCATGTACTCCTTTTGGTGATGTTGCCACGAATACTCGCCCGGGCAAATTGCTATGAGTAACATCAACGTTTCCACCATAAACACATCATCTATCAAAGACCTCACTACGAAACGCAGCCCCACACCTCTAACTTCTACAGCAGGCGTCTACACTATTCCCTGTGGGTTCTGTCCCAAGAAATATGTAGGCGAGACAGGCAGAGATCTTGCAGTCCACTTGAATGAGCATCGAAATGCCTCTAACAGAGACGATGTAAGGTACGCCTGTGTCCTCCACAGAGACTCCACGGGACATTTGATGAACTGGAATGAGGCACAACTCGTTCTCACCGAACCAGACCTCAGATGCCGACGGTGCCTAGAAGCCTCACTAATCGCCATCACCGACACTATAGAACGCAACACTGGAAACTACAAAATTTCAAAAACATTGGCATATATGATACTTAAGCACCACCAACCCAACAACACAGGAGTCACATGATTTCATCGTCTACCCGTCCTCATCATAGGCAGAGGTTGTTTTGATAAGGACCTGCCTCGCATGGGCTAGTAGGCCTTCTACAGTGTTACTCCATTCTTATGTTCTTATGACGTCACACCTCACTCTCCGCCTATATATATAATGCCTTTCTACCTCTGTATGTTAGAAGTGATCAAGGTCCCAGGACAGAAATGTTTTCTAATAAATATGTCATAGTGTTTGCTTACGTGTCTTTCTAAACCAACTTGTCGGTATTTATTACCAAGGTTTATACCACAAGCATATATATACAGTGGACCCCCGGTTAACGATATTTTTTCATTCCAGAAGTATGTTCAGGTGCCAGTACTGACCGAATCTGTTCCCATAAGGAATATTGTGAAGTAGATTAGTCCATTTCAGACCCCCAAACATACACGTACAAACGCACTTACATACTTGGTCGCATTGGGAGGTGATCGTTAAGCGGGGGTCCACTGTACATACACACAACTCTGGGGTTTCTGCTATTTTCTTTCTAGTTCTTGGTCTTGTTTATTTCCTCTTATCTCCATGGGGAAGTGGAACAGAATTCTTCCTCCGTAAGCCATGCGTGTTGTAAGAGGCGACTAAAATGCCGGGAGCAAGGGGCAAGTAACCCCTTCTCCTGTATAAATTACTAAATTTAAAAAGAGAAACTTTTGTTTTTCTTTTTGGGCCACCCTGCCTTGGTGGGATACGGCCGGTTTGTTGAAAGAATAATAAATACACACACACACACACACACACACACACACACACACACACACACACACACACACACACACACACACACACACACACACACACACACACACACACACACACACACACTCGTGGGGGAGTCACGCGGTTTGAGCTTGTGTTTTGGTGGTAATTTCTGACTGTGCCATAAGGAATAGAGTGTGGGATACAGGCGTGTGCACGCATAAGAGTGCATATAATCACTTAAGCCCCGAAAAAAGGAAATATAAGTGATCACAGAAAAAAAAACAAAGGGAATAGTGGCTAAGTGTTAGTGGGGGCCGTTGGAAGGAAGGTGAACCTATGTGTCAAGCCTAAATAGTGTTGCCATAATAACGCAGTGGGGTATTTTGAAGAATAAGTGCGACTCAAGACCAGGGAGATAAGAGATATGTATAGATGTGTCAGTAAATACAGTGAGTGAGTGAAAAAATTAGATGAACTAGAGACTATAGTGCCTACAGGAAGTTAGTGGAAAAATTACCGTGAAGCATCAAACTTCTTCAACTTCTGGGACACAGGACGGACCCGCAGCGTTACTCCACTGCCAGCCGCAAGTAATGTTCACCTAGTTTGAGTTGCATGGGGTCAACAGCACCAGTCTCTAGCTGGAATTGGGGGTCACTCTCCTTGAGCTATCAGAATTAGAATAAGCAGCATATACTGGCATTTAATAGAATTTATTGAGGTGTAGGAGAGTTAAGCAGTAATAAGAGGTAGCGGCACACAGGCGAAGCCTAGTATATTTATTTTTGAACGTAATTTTAAACAAGACAGTACAGTGGGAACCAAGAGATCGGGTACATATGCAATACATATGTAGTACATACGTGGGAAATAAGGACTGTTTACATAAACATATGCACACACACACACACACACTAGATGAGAACAGGCTCTGCTGTTAGGCACTTGAATAGCTGTAGCACACACACGCACACACACACACTCACTCACACACACACACACACACACACACACACACACACACACACACACACACACACACACACACACACATGCACACACTCACACACACATGCACACACACTAGGTGAGTACAGAATCTGCTGTTAGGCACTTGAATAGATGTAGCATGCACACACACACACATACACACACACATACACACACACATGCACACACACACACACACACACATACACACACACACACACACACACACACACACACACACACACACACACACACACATGTGCACACACACACACACATGTGCACACACACACACATGCACACACACACACAGACACACACACACACACACACACACAGCCGGTGAAGAGGCGGGGCCAGGAGCTAGGACTCGACCCCTGCAACCACAAATAGGTGAGTACACATGGGGGAACCATACATAGTTTTAAGGCGAGGTATGATAGAGCTCCTGGGGCAGGGAGAGAGAGGACCTAGTAGCAATCAGCGAAGAGGCGGGGCCAGGAGCTGTGACTCGACCCCTGCAGCCGCAAATAGGTGAGTACACACACACACATACACACACACACACACACACACACATATACAGGATTTCACACCTTCCTGTGAAGTGACCCTCTAACCCTTCCTTTCTCCCCCGTCTCTCTCTCTCTCTCTCTCATCCTCTGCAGTAGCCAGGGTAAAGGTC